TCTTTTGGTCTTATTTAACTTTCCATAAAGACAAGTTTTTCTGAAGTCATCTTTTAATTATTGATTTCAACTTAAGTGCTTTGTGATCTATATGATTCCATTTTTTGAGAGATGGTGAGCCTTCTTTATGGTCTAGAATGTGATCAAATTTTGTAAATGTTTTCATGAATTCTATAGCTATATTGGGTGCAGTATTCAATATAGATCAATTATATCAATATTATATCAGTATTACTTACTGTACTGTTAATATCTTCTTTATTCTTGACTATTTGACCTTTATGGAGTGGTGCTCGTCAAGGCCACTGTGGGGCAGCCTGTGGAGACAGGTATGCTAAGGTACCACTATAATGACTGGCAAATTCTCTTTATAATTTGTCATTTTTTTCTTTATATGTGTTAAAGCTATGTTTTAGGTGCATATAAATTTAAATTGCTGTAACTTTTAGTGAACTGAAGCTTTTATCAATACGTAACGACTAAATAATGAATCGCCTTAAAGTCTTGTTTTTTCACTCCTCCCCACACTGATATTAATATTTTTAAACTGGGTTTCTTTTGGTGTTTTCCTAGAATAGCTTTTTCTATTCTTTCAATTTATCCAAGTTGTTATTCTTTAGGTGTGTCTCTTGAAAAAAATTCAACTTTTATTTTACTGAAAAACCTCTTTTACTTTGATCACAATTACCCATAAATATAGACTAATTTCTACCATCTTTTTTTTGTTGCACTTCTAATTGTCCTGATTTTCTAGGGTTGTCTTCTTTATTTTTTCATCCTTTTTCTTTTTCTGTAATGATTAATAAATTTTCCCTTCACCTAGTTTCCTCTTTGTTCCTTTATGAACTCTTTTCTTTTCATGGTCATTTTGAAGCTGTTATTCACATGCATATTTAAAGCCTAACTTCAAAATCTTTACCTGCTTCTTGATGATACAGTGACTTATTGCATGTTTTAATTCCCCTCAATCCATCCTAGTCTTATGTATGCTGTCAATTTTGTTCTGTTGTTAATCCCACAAATTAGACAGCATTGTTACTGATTTTACAAAGTGTATTTTCATTTACCCAATGTTTAAATTTCAGTGTAGTCAAAATCAATATTTTCTTTATGGTATATGCTGTAAATGAAAGAAATGGTAATTGTCTTTGCTCACACTCATCCTTGTTTTTCTAGCCTTCCTTCTCTATCATTTCCCTTTTCTGAAAAGCCTCCGTGAAAAGACTGTTGGTCACAGCTGTTTGTATGAAAATGTCTATATTTAGATCCTTGGAAGACGCTCTTGAGGCAGAATTTAGGTAGACAGTAACTTGCTTTTATTAAGCCACCGCCTTCTGGCTCCCACTGTTGTCAGTGAGAAGTCAACTCATTCTCTCACTCTTGTTTTTTGTAATATTCTTTTTGTCTCTGACCACTTTGATGCTTTACTTTTGGTCTTTGATGTGGTGTAGTTTTGCTTTGATTTGTCCAAGATGGATTTTTTGTTGTGTTTATCTTGTTTGGAATTTGTTGGAATTCCTGAATGCAAGGGTTGGTTCCTTTTATTAACTCTGATTTTTTTTTTTTTTTTACTGCTTATCTTAGAATCTCCCTCCCTCCATTCTGTTATCTCTTCCTGGGGCTCCAACTGAAATATATGTTATTCCCTCTCAGTCTTTGTTATTGGTGTTTTCAGACTTTTTATGTGCAAACAGGTAACCCAGGAGTCTTGATTCTGAGAAGGAGCAGGCTGGGAGGAAAGGCCGGCCCAGAGTCCTGCTACTGAGTGGCTCAGTAGGAGAGGTGTGATTTAACCCCAAGGAAGCGGGGAAGAGAAAGGAAGATTTAGCTCAAGCCAACAATGTTGACTTAACCAGGACTTACTATTTTATGAGAATGATTGCAGTAGCCCTGAACTGACATCAGGTGGGCCATGGGCACCTCTCCACCACTTGGAGCTATTCAACCTGGAAAGAACAGAGACTGATGTATGGCCATTAGCTGGAGGCCATGGAGTGCAGGAGTACTGATCATTCTTTCTTCACTATGAAATCTGGGGAGCAGTCTCAGCACCACCTTCCCACAGGGCTCTAGAGACACTGAGAAAGTGGGGGAAGGAAACCCACATTTGCTCTTCGTGTGTCCACAGTGAACTGTGCAGCCTCGCAGTCCCTGGGAAGATGGAACCATGCATCCTTCCACTTTTTTCTTTACTTCTATTATAACTCACATGTTGCTATGGTTTCCACACATTCACTCCCTAAAGGACAAGCTTTCTGGCAGATATTGGTGCCCTTATTAGTCCCAGTTACTTAAGATGCTCTGCTGAAACCAAGCGGTGTGAGGAGTGAGCCTGTTCCTCCATTCACTGGCTCTTCAGCTCTGGGCAAGTGACCACTCAAACCAGCTTGAAGTCCTGACTTCACACTGTTAGTAAGAAAGCTCAGGTAAGAAAGCAGAGGTGGCCAGTGCTTTGGCATTGGCATTAACATGTTGGTTTTGTTGTTGCTTGCATTCAGCACCATCTTTAAATGAGGGTATATTAAGTCTGGGAGTGATGTGGAAACTGTGAAACTAGAAATAAAGATTGTACATGAGGGTATGCTTGAAGTTGACTCATTTCTTTCAGAAGAAAACAATTTCTGATATAATCATATTAAAGTGCTAAAATATCAGACGAGAGACAGAATGGGGCAGTCACTGCACTGTCAGTCCAGGCTTCCAAGCTCTTTGCATCTGCTCCCATGTCTGGAGTCCTCATTGCCTGACACCAAAGGCAGGACATGTGGAAGGGAGTAGGCAGCTTCTGGGACTAGTGGGCAGCTGTCCTAGCACTCCAGTGGTCAGCAGCTGTAGTCCTCCCGACACCCAGCAGTCTCTGTGCCTTTCCAGAATATATAAGAGAAGTTTCCAGAAGGATTCTGGTGAAAGGATGAGAGAACCTGGGAAGAAACTGGTGGCAGGATAGGTGGGAGGTGTTGATGACTCTTAAGGGTAAATAAGAAAGCCTTCTTTAAAATTGGGCACAGAAAAAATACGTATAATTTAGTTCTACATAAAGAAATATTCAGATCTAAGAAATATATTTTCTCTAGGTTTGTGTCTGATTCAGGTAAGATACTAAGATGCTAAAAGATGACTACAGTGTATGTGTCAGCCACTGTGGTTGAAATATTTAAATGTGCATTCAGTTATATTATAAAATAAGTTAGTATTTCCTGTAATTATTATATTTGGGTTCTAAAAAATGAAGCTTTTAAGATTACTACTGAATACTAAGCTCAGATTAAAAATGCCTTCCTAGACATCACAGTAATTTTATTTTTGTTTTGGATGGATTATAAGTGATTGTCTAAATCTTCAATATTCTGTGCCTGCAAGAAAAGCATTTATAAAAGGTCCTAGTCTGCTCCCAATAGCTGCTCCCCATCCCACTGCTGGTTCAGAGCAGAATGTTCTGCACAGAAAGCCATTTCACAATAAGTAGCCACCTACTCCACATCTCAACCAAACACAGTTTAAACTAATCTGGGAAACAAACACCTGTCAAACTCCCCACTTTTAAGAGAAGCTGAGAAAATCAGAAAATCACATGGAACAGCAAAACAAGTGATTGATATAAAAATCAATCAACCAAATCAACCAAAATCCCTCACCCTCACACAGGCGTCTATGCTCACAAGTGGACATTTCAGACCAGAAACCCTTCTCTGTCGGCTCAGAACCTGAGCCAGGAGGCAGCAGTTGTGAGACCACAGTGGGCTTGTGGGTCTGAGTATCGACTTGGTGCCTTTCTCTAAAGGCCAGACCACTCTTGAGTTTTCCAGCTGTAAAAAGGTCAAAGAGCCAGGTCTTCATGCCTGCTGCTATACACATTCGAATTTCTAAGGGTACAAGGCTTCCTTGCCCTGGGTTAAATGAAGGCTGTGCCATCCTAGAAACCAGGCTTCTTGGTTCCATTCTGATATCCCGAGCCCTCCACTGGGAGCACTCCATTAGAGCAGTGGTTCTCAACCTTCTGGCCCTTTAAATACAGTTCCTCATGTTGTGACCCAACTACAAAATTATTGTCATTGCTACTTCATAACTGTAATGTTGCTACTGTTATGAATCGTAATGTAAATACCTGATATGCAGGATGGTCTTAGGCGACCCCTGTGAAAGGGTCGTTCGACTGCCAAAGGGGTTGTGACCTACAGGTTGAGAACCACTGTATTAGAGGCTGTGGAACCTGCCCATAGCAGTGCCACTGACCCCACCTGGGCCCACACAACCCTTCTCCCTGCCCGGCACTCCTGCACAAAGGATCCCCGATTTTTCTTGGCACAGCTAGTGTCTTCCTCTTTATCTGCTATAGCTACACCCAAGGAAGAAAGCCCTTCTGCTCTCCATTGCTGCTCCATATGTTGGCCCTGAGAGTTGCATGTATCCCCCTTGGCCTCCAGGCCACAGGAGTTTAGGATGCTTCTTCCTGAAGTGAATTAGGATTGTCACTGTTCTCCAGCACTGATGTTACTAACTCTAGAATGAAACCGAGGCCTGTCACCGTTGGCCTTCATACACGTGTGGACTCTGTTTCAACTAGGGCTTCGGAATGGAAGAGTGTAGCCTCACTGGGTGTTTCAAATACCCTTTTTGACACATCTCAGACTTGTTTGACAATAGGTCATCTCACTTCGTAGATGCTTGTAAGACACTGCTACTCCTGCCCATAGGGGGTGGGGCGGACGCCAGGTTCAAGGCAGTCCTGCAGTCACCGCCCACCTTGTGTGTGGAGGAAAGCCCCCACTGACTGAAGCAACAATTAAAACAATTTGACATCAGGCCAAGTCCTCCACATGAGTAGAATTAGTGCTAAGACATTAAAGGTTATTCAAGGTCATTTGGATACGACAGAGGTCAGGAACACTGAAAGAACGCTATTAATATTATTGCTTAATATTAATATTGTAGCAGTTCACAGCAACATGCAGGCAGTAAATGGTAACAAGAAGAGAAGGGAAGGCAAACAAAGTGAAAACTCACATCTGGGTGTGGGATGGCGTACTGTCCCTGGATCGTGTAGGCCTAGAGAGAGAAACACTGTCAGCTTGGGAAGTAGCGACCCTCCCCTGCAGAACAGGCTTTCTCCTGGGGGGACTTGCATGTGAACTGGCCCCAAGCCACCTGCCCCAATCCTGTAGGACAAAGGGAAGTGATCTGGAGTCAAGCCTCAACAGCGCCCCTTGCTGGCTGTAGCTACAATCACACACATAAGCCAGGGAGTTGCACCCCACTTCCTAGAGGCCTGCAGGAAGTCAAGTCAGTGGGGAGAGAAGGAAATGACACCCCTCAATGTTTCTGACCCCCACACCCCCAGTTTCTTGAAAGGAAAACACTAAGAATGATCTGACCCCTGTTACAGTTTACTAATAATTAACCTTTTGAATATTTAATCAATCACGAGTACACATTTTTAGGAAATATTTATGCCAAGAAAATCAAACAAAAAAAGAGAAACCTTTAAGAGGTGACTCAAAACTAATTTTTCAAAAGCCAGATTAAGTAAGAAATGCACCCAAATCATTCAGAGATTAACCAGTTTATCTTTTAACCTCTGAGGACAGGGCGGCTATTCTGACTTGGCGGGTAGCACACTCATGGCACAGCTCCCAGGGGGACCAGGATGGGTCCCAAGGCCTCGTTTGGTTTCACAGTTTCACTAGCCTTCAAGACAGTGACTGGACCAGCCACGGCGAGTGTGAGGCCCTGAAGTCTCTCCCACCTGTTCCCAGATGCTTCCAGAAACTCATGGTCAAAAAACAAATCACACAGAGTCAAGGGAGAGTAAAGACCAAAGACTAAGCCTCAGTGACATGGAGTGTGCACACCAGCCCCAGGCCAGCCACACTGGCGCCTACAGGCATGGGGTGGCTCAGGTGTGGAGGAACATGGGTTCTAGCACCCGGCCATGTGGGGGCCCCCATGTCATGTCCTACATGCACACCTGGTGCCCACTCACATTGGTCTCTGTGAATCTGAGAGGGAAACCTCAGGCCCATCCAAGAGTCACTTCCATGGACTCCAAACTGAGGGTGGTTTCCAAGGTTCTGCCAAATGGTGTTTTTGTTTGTTTGTTTGGGTTTTTTTTTTTTTTTTCATCTGCTGAGTTTTCATCATAAATAGCACGACTATGAATTAAAGACCAGCCAGTCATTGGACAGGGACCACGGCAGGAGAGGCCCTGGTCTGGCACTTCATGGGAAGTAAAGGAATCTTATCAGATAGAGCAAGTGCCCTGGGGAAAGGGTAGTGGGTGCTGCCTGTGCTTGTGTTATGAGTCCACAGGAATTGTATCCACACCTCACTTTCAGGTTTTTTGGAGGGACCACCAGGCCATGGTCCAGTGAGTCACCAAACATACACTGACCTGGGACACACTGCCCCCACAGAGCAGGCAGGGTGACAGGCCTGACTTGCTGTACCGAATCCCTGCATGTCTGAGTGGAACTGCACATGCGTTCTGACAGGGCAGGACATCTTAAGTTTCTGACTCGTCTTCCCTTACTAGGGTGGCTGTGGTCTTCAGTTCTGCTTAAACTGTTTGTGCAGCTGACTATTCTCTCTGGAGAGAGATAGAGGTAGACAAACAGATCAAATGTTTGGTCAAGATGAAACCTGTGTCATCTGTCACAAGCTGTAGAAGTGGGAACTACCTCTCTGTAGCAGAGCGCCTACCGGACAAGCTGTGACCGCCTCCACCCCCAAGACCTCCAGGGGCATGTCATGACCACAGGCAGGCCACCTGTAGGGAGGAGTATCTTCACACAGATAAGTCAGGGTGAGTCTCAGGCCACATGTCTCTAAAGTCCAGGTTTGCAGTGTGCCCTATGTGGGCAGCGTAGGGTCTGAATTTGGAGGGGACCCCTTGTTGCGTTAGGTCTCATTTACACCTTCATTTCTGAGTCTGTACTGTGGCTCCTCTGCCTCATTACCTGCAGTACAGTGGTGACTCTCATGTGACTTTGCCCCACCCCGCAACAGATGACCAGGACTGGACACTGGCTGGACCAGACTGTCCCAAGGGCACAGGTGCCGGGTTAAGATGGACAACCTGGTGATAGCCTCGGGACAGGTGCTGATGATGGCGGTGACTGAGAGGTGGGCCTGCTGCCATTGTTTTACAGGTAAGAAGATGAGATGGGTGGCAAGGTGCTGACCACAGCCCACCCCAGCCAGGTCTTCCTGGGCCCCTGTTTGTGTTAATATTAATGTGCATCCCTTTTAAATAAAGTCCCACACTTCACTGAGGGGTGATCATGGGTTTGTTCCTACTTTAGCATCAAGACCACACAGGTAACTAACCTGCTAACTTACCACAACTGCAGGGGGAAAGAAAACAGACTTGAACAAGGTCCACTGTGACTCCCCATCACCAACCTAAGGTTGGTGAGGAGAGGGGCATAGCCTTGGGTCCTTAGGTCCCTGCCTCAGGGCCTCCCTTTCCAACCTGGGGCTGTAGTAGGAGGATGGATGAGTGTGAATGTTCCCCTGGCAAAGGCCATGGACACTGGGAGACAATGTGAGTCAGGCGGCGGACAAGAGATGCCACAAATACGGACATCGTGGGGGCGGCGGTATCTGGATGGGGATGCTGGGAAATAAGTGGGAGCCCCTGCGTCACTCAGATGCTAGTAAAAATGTAGAAACACATGCCCTGTTCTTCACCTAACATGAGTCAATGCTGAAGATCAGATAAGATTCCTTTACATGGTAAAGAGAAACATGGAGAAAGCTGTATTTGCCTCTTTCCTTTCTTTTTTAATGATAATGTAGAACATCACGGCTATGCTCTCCTCACCTAGATCCCCTGTGGTCTGTCTTAACCCTCCCTTGAACAAAGACACACATCACTGCCAACTGGACGCAGAGCTCCTCCAGGCACCACTGGCTGGGCATTTTCAAAGTCCATCCATCTACTGGAGCCAAGCAACCCTGAGGTGAGTGGGACAAAACTCCTGCTCAGACATCTGGGCACAGCTCCCTCTCCTCAGTTCTCTCGAGGCCCCTGTTTTCAGGGGAAAATAGGACCCTAGCTCTTACAGTCCTCCATGTTTCAACCAGGAGTCATTACAGTCACCTGTAATGCTCCTGGCCCTCCTATCTGCACTTCTTAAAAACACCTGAGAGCTAGACTTGAGCAGGCACAGCTCAGGCAGAACTGTGTGAGGCTGTGCCCAGTCAGGGAGATGCTTCTGGGGCCGAGGCTCCACAGGGCATCCTCCTTGGCCTTTTCTGTCTGCTGGACACTGCACAGCTCAGTCTTTCTCACATGGCAGCCCACATCCACCCCACTGCCCACTGCCCACTGCTGGTGCCTGGCAGTGGGCCAGGAGAGCTCTGCATCCAGCGCACAGGGGGCAGGAGACGTGCACGTGAGAAGGGAGAAAACCTGAGTGCACTAACGGGCAGCGGCGGGGGCTGCAGTAAAAGGCTGAGGTTGGCAGTGGAGGCCGCGAGCGGGTCGGCTCTTACCTGACCACCTGCAAAAATGACAGGGGTGGAGGCGGGCTTTGGGCGGTAGGGAATGGTGGCACCTTTCGGTGGGGACTAGGAAAAGGGACAGGAGAGGAAGAGAGATTGTTAGACAGTCTCACAGCGTGGCAGTCATGAGGGTGGGGAGACCTCCTTCCTGAGCCCGCCCACCACTGTATTCTAACCTGTCCCAGTGCCCCAGGCTTGCAGTGCCAGAGGGGTAGGGGGATGCCCCAGAGTAGGAGGGCACCTGCTTGAAATCTTAACCTCACCACCCCAGTTTCCTCCAGGAGGTCACCTCCCTCCTCCTCTTAATCATTGACCTAATTGCCCCACATGGTGCCAATCACCCCACATGGGCACCTATTACCCCAGCAGGACAGTGAGGAGTATGGGTCTGAGAACAGACTAAGAAGGAAAGACGTGACCCTGTCCTTGCTCACGGGACCGCCCCCCCCACCCCCCCTATGTTCAGACGAACACACAGCTGCCTCCAGGCCTAGATGCTGTTGCTCCACCTGTGTGTTAGCCTGGGGTTGTCCTGAGAGAAAAACTCTCCTTTTCCCTTCGATCCTCCCAAATAAGCTGGGCTGTGCATAGCTCCGCCATGGGCCCTTCAGGCCCAGTGCCCCAAAGCTCTGCTTGGCCTGTGGTGATGTCCAGCTGACATCATAGCAAAGTTAGAAACATCCAATTTCACTCTTTTTTTAAAAAGCAATTTTTCTTTTTAGTTCTTTGTAAGTGACCTCCCCTGCTGCCATACTTTTTTCCCCATACTTTTTTTCCTTTCAATTATAGTTCACGTTCAATATTATTCTGTATTAGTTTCAGGTGTACAATATAGTGGTTAGACAATCATGTATTTTATAGAGTGAAAGCCATTTTTTTTAAAAAGCACCGAGTCCAAAGGAAATATTCCATAGTCATGATGAGGTTTGCTATAATTTCCTTTGATTATTCTGTGTCCAAAAATATAGGATTCTTATCTTCTGGTGAATGATATTCTGCCAGATTCCCATAAAGTCAACCTAACACCTTGGTCAGAGGCAATCAAGTCCTCCTTGTCCCTCTGGTGGATAGTCTTCCCTGGTTGCAGAGGCCATAGGCCAGGTCTGGTGACCAAGTCAAGAGTTCCTGAGTCAGTGGCACCACCAGCCAGAGGCAGAAGGAGTGGGGCAGGGAAGCAAGTCCCTGCTTGGAGTTTTGGAGGCCATGGCCCATACAGGCCCAACCCACAACCTGGCCAGTCGGGTGTGATATCAGAGAGCCTCCACCCAAAACACACAGCCATGTGGGACAGCAGTGTGGGTAGCAGCTTCAACTCTGCAGCCCAGGCCACATCATGAGACCTTGAACAGATTGTGTCCTTGACGATGCTGTGTGACCTTGGCTGTGCTGTTCAACTTTGGTCCAGTTGTGTGACCCTGGTAGTGCTGTACAACCTTGCCATAAAGTGGAAGGGGTGCTGAGAAGACCTGTGAGCTGACCCCAGCTGGTATTTGGGGTTTAGTATTTTGGTAGTTATGACTGAGCCTCCCAAAATGTCTCTGTGCAAACTGAGGTTCATTGTGGTCTCAGACTGGACTCAGGGCTCACTGTGGAAGAATGACTAAACCGAGAGTGAATGAGGGACTGTTCTCACTGCTTCAAGCAGATGACTCAGTCTGGCTGCTGGTCCCATTCCTGAGCTGGGCATCGTGCTACTACTCATGCCATTGCTTGGCTCATCATCCCTGCTGCATGGTGCCCTCTGACCCCATCAATGGTAGCATCTGCAATCCTGATACTGCGAGCTCTTCCATACCATCTTGCTGATTCTGAATTAGGATTCCCGATTCCCGACTTCCTCTGATGGAGAAGAGGCTTACAGCCCCCTGTCCTGCTCCCCCTTGGGAAAAGTGCAGCTGTGCGTCGTTCTCCACAGGGTCCCACCCAACTTGCCTGCACCCAGGGTCTCAGTGGTACTTTCAAGGGTGAGAGGCCCACCCTGTAGCCATGCCTGGAAATCCTCTGGTCTTCTGCTCTATGTGTACAGTAACTCTTCAGTTAGAAATAAACCCAACTGTTACCAGGAGCAATGAATCTTCTTCTCCAGGTAGGAGGGCTGCTCCCAACCTCCGAGAGCGTCATGACACTGACAAGAACAAGGCATTACCTCCACCCAATGTTTATCATTCATGTTGCCACGTGCACTTCACCATTCACTGTCCACATAAGCCTCCAGCCATCAGGAAGGAGACAGGGCAGTTCCAGCCATGGTCTTGGGGGTGCCAGCACCCCAAAGTCCAATGAGGGTCAGCCTGCTTCCAGGGGCTGTCTGACCATGAATATGGCACAAGCAATGCCACTTGGGAGGAGTTCTGAGGAGACCACAAGTTCTGTTCTGACCCTTGATTAGGTATGTGGGTGACTGTGTCAATATTGGAACTGTTCATATCACTCTGCCATCCTGAGGTGCCCACTGCTGCTTCACAGATGGCCATCTGTCAGCACTCAGGTTCCCAGGCCAGTTGCCACTGTCCATGTGGCCCTCTGGGGTCCCAGCAGCTGGACACTAAAGGGAACATGGTCAGTACCAACTGTCACTATGACCAATGGTTGGGGAAACTTCAGAACAACATTTAGAAAATAATTTTTGACGTCACAAAATATCATACTTTAAGAAAATAAAAACTACAATTTTTTTTAAAGAGTTGGACATGGGTTTTAACACCAAGCCAAGTACAAAAGAGAGATAAGCCCACAGCGGCCAGCGAGGCTTTATTTCCCATGGGAGATTGCTGAGATGGTCACTCTCTAGCAGATCCTCAGGCCCAGGGACCATGAGCAGGGGGCAGAGGGGCTTGGCAGCCTGGCCACCAGCACAACTGTTGGAACTTTTCATTTGAGGCAGGATGACTTCATTTTAGCTTAAAGAAAGAGAACTACTGATTGCTTCAATGACTCTTGCATTTTGGGTATTGGTTGAAATTTAAATTTCAGGGTTTTTCCCCAAAATTTCAAAGAGGTTGTACCATCTTTGCTTCTCTTTTGGCTTTTAATCCCTTTGTATACTATTCGGTCTTTACAATTTGGGCATTTTTATGTGCTTTTCCTAAGTCCTGCCCTTTGTGGGGGCTCAGATAACTTCAGCTAGCTCAGCGGGAGAAGTTTTGTCCACAGCAAGCAGCCTTTCCACCTCCAGTGCTCATCTCCAGCACAGTCCTGTCTCCAGCGCAGACCCAGATCCCTCTCCGGTGCAAACTTGTATCCAGAGCAGACCAGTTCCATTGCAGACTTGTACTGTTTTTAAGGCCCAAACCTTTATTAAAGCACCCTCACATCACGGACTAATAACTTTTCACCCAGTTCCAGAAATAAAGTGAGGGGCACATGCCTCCACATGTGTCCTCTCCCCTGCTTTCCCAGTGAAGATGACAGACCCACCCTACAGGGGGCAGGCACCAACACTGCCCCTCTCACAGCGCCCAGCACGGCTTCCACTCATGTGGCCTTGGGCCTAGATCAGGGACCTGGGACATATTTCTGATACCTGGACCCCAAACAACCCTAACCTCGTGAATCCTCAGGGCCCCTGAGGCACCAAAGCCTTTGCCACCACCGACACTAAGTAGCCACAGCCAGCTTGGACTGAAGGAAGGCCGGCCATGAGCACGGATACAGAAACTGTACCTCCAGCATGACCACACAGATCTGCTTGACACACTGGATGATGGCGTCAGGAGTCCCTGAGATGGTCACTGCCCGCTCCGTGGAGTTGGGCAGCATGTCCCCAGCCACCTGGACCTGGGCACCTGTGGACTAGAGAGACCAGATGTTGGAAGGAGCATGGCAGAGGGAGCAGGAGGTAGTGAGTGCCAAAGTAGCGCTTCCTGGATTCTCTTGAGGGTGTGTCTAAGGCACACTGCATTGGAAAGCCGCCCCTACATTATCCCCATGTCGCCCCCTCCATGCAAGTCCTCTGCATGTTTCCTTGGGGAGCCCCTGTGGGCTGGTCTCAGCTATTTCAGCCCACTGCTGTCCAGCACAGAGCTCGTGCATGGCAAGCATCACTGCCTAGGAGGCATTTTAACTGGCAGACAGGCATTTGCAGGAGATGAAAGAGAGTCATATTTTTTCAAATGTGCGGAATTCTATCTCCTCTGTGGAGTTTTAGGTCACAGAGAAAGATGGATTCTAGATGGGCCTAAATAAAATTTGTGACCTCTTGTTCTTGAAAGAATGCCGATTGGATGGCCGCCCTCCTTCTGGGAGGAATTAGGCTTTCCTTGAAATGAATGAACATGTGACCATAGAGTCTGCAGCTCCTGCCAACTCCATTCCAGCTGTTCTTCCAGGAAACTGGGGCAGAGACCACAAGCCCCTTGTGTAGGGCCTCTGTGCCCCAGAGCCACATGACTGGGGTGGGGTGCTATAATCTGTTCTGTCCCAGGAGTCTCTTGCCTAGTCTCAGTCGGGGCATAAGCCCCTCCCTCACAGTACCCAGCACCTCTGCACATACCTCCTTACCCACCCAGTGGCCCAGCACCCACCAGGCTGGGAAGGGTCCTGTTACCTCCCTGATCTCCTTGATCTTGGAACCGCCTTTGCCAATCAGGGAGCCGCACTGGCTGGCGGGGACCACCAACCTCAGCGTCACCGGGGGCTTGCTGGTGGCAGGACTGTTGCTCATGGAGTTGATGATGTCCTGAGGATGGAAGGTGTGACTGTTGGCTAACAGCCTGTGTGTAAACACCAAGAGTGTGGAAGCAAGGCTATGCTTGGAGCCCTTGACAAGCCAGAGGGTAGGGGACACAGGCTGCAGAGACCAATGGTGAGGGCCTTTTCCTGAGCAGCTCCCAGTCCAGGGGGAAGAGGACCAGGATAGAGATGCATGAGCTTCTTCTAGATGGAGGAGCACACACCCTGGAAAATGGCTAAATGTGCAGAAAGAGGGCACAACAGCCAGGCTGGCTGGTTACAGAGGCTTGAAGGCCAAGGAAAGGGTGGTGGGATGGACAGAGGGGACCACAGAGACATGTGTCAGAGTGACCACCGTGCTGCTGTGGGCAGGACAGGGCACAGATCGGAGGGCGCCTAGACTCAGGGCCTGATATTTGCCCTTAGGGCCTGGTAGAGCCTGGATGTTTGGACAGACAGAGTGACACATTTTTCCAAATGTATTCTCCAGCTTGATCACCCTCTGAATAAAAAACATGAAATGTATCTTTAAATAATTTTAGGCAATTTCAAAATAAAAATACATACAAACTTTAAGTTGTGACTCACTGACACAGGTGCCCAAGAACCACCTGGGTCCAGCCCTGTCCACTGCCTATCTTGAGTGGGTGCATCTTACCTCCTCAAACTTATAGGCGATCATAGCGAAGGCCTTGAAGATGGCATCAGTTGGGCCTGTGATGGTCACGATTCTTTCTGGACAGTTTCCCTCTGAGATGTTGATACGGGCACCACTCTAGAAGGGAGTTGAGCAAACCCCAGAAACTAGATTAAAACTGTGGGGCCAGTAATGGGTTGGCTTCTTCAATAACTGATGAAAACATATCCAGTTGGCCCCTGAAGGGCAAAGCTTAGCCCTAAACAGTAAAATTCTTTCCCTCTACAGTGATATTTTAATTAGAGAAAGGACTCAAGTGACCAGTAAGGATGCAGTGTGCCCATGACAGCTCCTGCGGAAACCTCGGGCGTGTGGGTGTTGAAGGCAGGGGCCTCCGAGCTGTTGTGGGCCCCTCATCTAGTGCAGTGTCTGCTGTGGCCCTCCGGCCTATTGGAAACAGGATGCAGCTAATGCACGCAAACTTACCTCTTCACGCATCTTTTTCACAGTTTCTCCTTTCTGGAAGAAAGATTTAGACAACAGGAAGAAAGGTCACTCAGGGGCCCACTAGGGGCAAACCCCTGAGTTTGGTGCAGCAGCATGAAATGTCAGGAGCTCCTGCATCCCAGTATGCCCCGGGGCAAGAGGGCAGCAGGTCCTCAGAAAGCAGGGCTCCCTACAGGTGCCATCCAGAGCCTGACACACATGTGATTCACTGAGCCCTCAGCACATCTGGCTCGTGAGCCCACAGAGGAGGAAACCCAGCTGCTCACTCAGGGGCACGAGGCTCTGTGGGCAGATGGGCTGAGACCCAGGGACCTGACTGGGCACCACACTTGGCCAGGGCACCTGCTCCATGGAGTGGAGATGGGATACACCCAGGTCACAGCCATCCCCATCTTCATCACAGGCAAAGCAGGACCAGGTCCATGGGTGTAGGAATGGGGAGACCTCCTGAGGTACATATGGAAAGAGCTGGACTTTGAGCATTGGAGGTGCCCCCACTGCACAGAGACCACTTAGGAAACCAGGGGTCTTGAGGTGGTCAAAATGGGACCAACAGGAGGGCAGTGCCTCAACCCTGATCTCTCCTACAGGCACAGGCTCCAAATGGGTTCTGACTTTTCCCCAGGAATGTCTCTTCGGTTTTGGGATGGAAATGAAAGAGACTCACTACCACTCACAGAGGCAGGTGACCGCTGTAATGAATGGAAGTAAAGGAATTCTTACTGAGCTCTCACACCAGGGAGGAAGGTCTGGCTATCAGGCTGGTAAGAGGTGGGGCTGCTCTCAGACCAGCTTCATAGTGGTTCAGCTTGAGAGTGAGAGTCTTAGGATTCTCCTGGGATCCTCACTGCATGGAGAAGTTTCTGCCCCGTGGACAACCCCCTCCTCACCCCCTCACCCCTACCACAAGCACAGAAACCCCAACAGAGGCAGAGGGTTTACTTAATAATTACCTTCCCGATGATGCTTCCAACTTCCTATAGGAAAAATCACAAAAAGCTGACGTCATATAGCAGAAGGAGAAAGGACCTTGTGGCAGACGCTGTTATGCGTGAGGAAGGGACATTTAGGTGGTCATGAAAAGGCTTGCAGGCCCTATGTCCAGAGGGTCCCTCTGTGCCCATCTGACCACCACTGGTGCTTCTGATTGACAGACAGCTGAGCAGAGGAGAATGGCTAGCTGCTTTCCAGCTAAACAAGTTGGAAGGCACACCTATGCACTTAAGGCAGCAAGAAAACCCTGCAAGAAATGGATGAAAAATAAAATCTCCCTTGAGCCCTAACTGGTCTGGCTCAGTGGATAGAGTGTCGGCCTGCGAGTTGAGGGCACATCCCCAGTAGGCTGTGTGCAGGAGGCAGCTGATCGATGTTTCTCTCTCATTGATGTTTCTAACTATCCTTCTCCCTTCCTCGTTGTAAAAAAAAATCAATAAAATATAAAAAAAAAATCTCCCTTGATTTTGTGATATAAAGAAAAATAAGCACTTCCTTTGCTACTTGACTTTTTAAAAAGGTAGAACATTCAAAGACACCCTTAAACTCGCCACCATGGTGCTAAAGCCTGGAGCCCGTGATAGTTCGGACATATGGTCCCGGCCAGGCCTGCTCATCCCAGTACCTCTCTACCTGGAACAGGCCCACATGGTGCTACTGTGCATCTCATGAAGGCAGGGTCAGTTCACTTCTAGCCATAGAGAACAACATCTTTCAAAATAAAACTCATTGTTTTTATCACAACAAAGTCCTCAGCAATTACAATGTTTCACCAGGCCATGGGGAGGAGGTATGCAGTGGGGAATGAGGCAGCAAAAGGCAACTGGGTACGAAGTAGTGACCCCTCTGGTGGTGGTCAGGGACCTCACCTCCCATGGGCAGGGTTTGGTGCTTGTAGTGGTAGCTGCAGCTGGAGGTGGGGCCATATAACTGATCCCACAGGCTGCTTGCCATGGTCCACACCCAGCTTCCACAGCCTTAACCAAATGCCACCCCAATCAAGGGAAGGAAAGGCTGGTGGTCATCTCTCCATCACAGAAAGGGACGCTCTTTCTGTGTGAGCACCTTCCCTCCTGGAAATCTTGGGTGGGCAGAGCCACAGGCATGAGGCCAGAGCCTCTGCCAGCCCCCTGAGAGTGAGGCTTCTCAAGGCACAAACATGGGACAGCGGGGGAGCTTGGATGGATCCTGTGCCATTGGACTGGAATTTTGGGGCCCAAAATCAGGAGAGATCAATATGTAAATAAATATGCAGATGTGTATGCATGTGCATATGATAATGCAATATTCACACATGTACATACACACATTCATACATAGGCACACATGTATGTTTTCCAGCTCTGTCTGGGACCAATGACAGACCAAGGGTGATGATCACATCACGAGCCCTGATCTGGGCCTCAAACACAGTCCTCCCCTCAAAGAAGTCAGGCTTCTTTGGAGAAATGGCTGATTCCAGGACTGTGGCAGGGAAAGCACCAGATAAAACTTAAGCAGCATTTTGAGCCAGAAGCCAGGCATAAAAATGATGGCATCAAAGGGATGTAAGAGCCAGTCTGGAGGGACCCCCATTGGCCAAGTCATGGACAATATGAGTATCAAAATAAATAGTGACAGAACAGGGAATAGAATAAAACAACAAACCCTGAGTCCATGCAGACATGAATAAGTGGATGCACTGAAAGCCTGCTGACAAATAAGGTATCTACAAAGCATCTACCTATTAGTGGGAGAAAAGCAGCTCTAGTCGGAGACACCTGGCAGGTATCTCTCTAACTAGGTGATTGGTATGGGACACACCCTGAAATCTAGGCCACCTGATAGGAAAACTTCAGTAACTTTCCTGACATCAGAAAAAGCCAATGTGAGGGATATTCTACAAAAGAACTGGACAGAAACATTCAAAGGTGAAAGGCCACCAAAGACCAGGGCAAGTCTTTCAGGTTAAAAGAGGCTGGAGACTCGACAAGGACATGGAGTGGGAGGGCACTTCAGAGTGCCCTGTTAGGAAAAGCAGTGCTGGGATGGTTAGGATGGTGAATGGAGTCTGTGGTCAGGTGACCAGAACAGATCAGCATCACTGTCCTGACTTGATGGTGTAGATGGTGATGGAGGAAAATGCCCGTGTAGGTAGGAAATACACACTAAGGTACTTGGGGATAGGACGTCACCTGGGCAACTTATTAGCTTCATATGGTTCCAGGAGAAGCGTACTTTAGGCTGGACTGCTCCTGCTCTGTAAGTCTGAGATTGCTTAGAATTTTTAAAAGCATAATACAAAGCAAAGGTCCCAGCTCTGAGCAAGACCTCCCTTCCTCCCAGCTGGTCTGCTGCCTTCCTTCTGAGGATAGTGACAAAGGCAGGGCGTGTGCTTTTGTACCTTTCCATGCATCAACAGACGGATTGTCAGGGTCACGTTCAGGCCACCTTCTGAGACCTTGGACTCCATCTTTCTCCCAAAATGCGTCTGGAGGTGGTGGCTGAAGGTGCCAAGGGTGCCGAGAGGAAGGATAGATGGGGCCCAGATGGTGTCACCTGGAAAGAAGAAGGCACAGCTGCTGATAACTGAGAACATCAACCGCCAATGCACTGGAGGATGTCCCAGCCTCTGGAGGGGCAGGAGGCTACTGGTGAGAGGCAGAGGCCCAGGGAAAGGCTTCCCAGAGCATCGTGGAATGATCTGCTGGGGCATGGGGTACAGGGAAGTGGGGGGACGGGCCTCAGGAAAGCCCTCCAGGAACAGATCCAGCCCCACTGCTCAGTAACTGTGTGACAAGTGCAGGTCATCAAGCCCTCTGGCCTCAGTTTCCCTCTGTAACAAAGGAACAGCTCTCTTAGGTGCAGGAGGGGAAGCAGGGTCACCCAGTAAGCCCTGAAGCCCACATGTGCATCCTGTGAGTGCCTCCTCTGCTGTGAGGTTAGTTCTGCCCATTTCCTTCACATCGGTGCCAGGATCCCCAGCCTCCCACTGCGACTCCCTTCACCCTTAAAAAGTCAGGAAAGTTCAGGTAGTGGTATGTCCTTGGCATCTAGAGCTGAGATTCCTTGGTAATTCTCACTTATAAAGTGGATTTAGTCTATATCAACTAAATTTCCAAATAGCTGAGTGTCCCCCTTTATAAGTTTTCAGAAAATGCTTTAAACCCCCATATCATTGGTCTGTTTGCTGTATACTTTCTGCAGATGGCTGGCTCAGCGCTTAGCCCACGAGGCAAAGTGCAGGCTCTTTTTTTAAGAGCCTTTACTTCATAGATTACAGACAAGGAGTGATTTCAGGCAGTGGGCCTAGAGTATTGGAGGGAGGAGCACAATGTGCCCACAATGTGCTCAGGCCATTGGGGCTTGGCCTGAATGGGTGATTGATGGAGGACAATGACTAAGCACTGACCTGAGCCCCACACCCAGCTGCATGGGGCTTCTGGCTTCAGGCCCTTCTCGCAGAGGGTCGTGTCCTCCTCTGGGCTGGATTCTGAGGACAGGTCACCCTCACCCTCACAGGAGCAGCCTCTTGAGACAGGCACCAGCAAGGATTTAAAACAAGGTCAGGTGAGGGCTGGAGTGAACAGTGGGAAGAAGACTCTCAGATCAGACAGGGAGAGGTCTAGGACCAGCATGTCAAACTCAAAGGCTAACATGGGCCAAAAAGTTTAAGTTTATGTGGGTCGCAAAAAAACAAAAGCTTCAATTTTCATAGAAACGTAGGTTTATTTCGATAGAAACATGCTGAATACAAAGGACTGAAATACATGAGTCATCATTAACATAAAATAATGGAACATTTTAATAAAAATTATTTCTTGAACATTAACTTACCAGACACTGAATAACTGCACAAATTAATAAGCATAACGCAAATAAACCTATTTTTCTTGTTCTCCAAAAGTGAAATTATTTCCTGTTGCGTACACCAAACAAGTGAACGTAAGGGAAATGAATGTAACACGATTATAGAAATCAGTCATTAGTGAACGTTGAGTTTGTTCTTAATAATTATGTATAAGAGGATATTGGGGGCCTTAGGGAATTGACAGCATTGTCTTTGTTGGACAGAAAGGGAAGGAAGGACTGGCTGGGGGAAGATTCTGGGTGAACCGTGGTGCAGGCCAGGGCCCAGTGTTTCCACTAGAGGGCCAGGAGGGACCCTGGGCCGATTCTGCAGGAGAGCACGATAGGCCCTCAGGAGCTGCCACCTGCCCAGGTGCGCATACCTGAGAGTGTGCCAGGACAATGAAGGATGAGGCATTGGAATCCCTGAGAGGAACCAAGGGCTGGTTCTGCGAGAGCTCCTCACACATTACCCCACATTTAGTGCCTTCACTAATGACAATGTCACATTGCCTGCATGGCTGCCTAAGTCCTTCAAGAACAACAGTCCTGTGAAACCTGTATGTGTCCCCATGCACCTGCAGGATATCTGGACATTGGCCCTGTGATGTAACTTATAAAGATGAGAGGCTTTGTCCACACACGGGAGAGACTACAGGTTAAAAAAGCAAGCTTTTCCTTTAAACTTAGAGGTATTCATGAGGCAAAAAAATTTTTTTTCTTGTAAAATATTTCTGCTAAAAATATGCTAAAAGGAAAACACAAAAATAAAGCACAGAATCAAAGTACATACCATTACCTAGGTGATATGTAGGGGACTCCTGCAAAGGGCAGTTATGGGCATGGGCAAAACGACAGTTTCTAATTCTATTTCTGCATTAATAAGCACTCACATTTAAAAATATATTTACAGGCAACTTCAACACACTCCAACTATTAGTTCTAATTATTCATAGTCAGAGCATTTAAATAGCAAGGATTTTAACATGAAGGTATAATACATAGCAAGAGAATTTTAAAAATCATCCTTCTATATGAATGTCCTCTATCTAGTACAGTAGCCACTAGCCATATGTGGCTATTTATATTTAACATAAAGATTCACTGCCACATTTAAGTGTTAAGAAAACAGTCTCCTGTAGCTACTAGCTGCGAATGCAGGGACGCAGATAGAGACCCTTTCTGTCACCCAGAGAGTTCTGGTGAACAGCGCAGTGCATGTGACCCTTGGGAGGAGAGGAGGCTCTAGCTGCAGGGACTGGTGTGGCATCAGATAAAAGCACTCCTTCCTACAGAGGTGCCCTGCAGCAAACCCTTTGGACTCCAGTATGTGTAAGGCTGAGTTCCCAGCGCCCCTAAACTGAATCTCGTGGTGCCAGGCAGGGGCGCCCTCCTCCTTTTTAATTAGAAACACCTCCTCCTGTGTCAGGGGGACAGCAGGCCCCCCTGGCCATCTGTTATGTAAACGTTTCCAGCCCATGGTGGAGAAAGTGGGTCAGTGAGTGCCAGGAGTGCTGTAGGCTGTCAACTGCCATCAGACACAGGTCAGTGAGCTGCTGCAGAGGCCAGTGCCTTCATCATATGTCAAGAGGGTGTGTCACAGTGCTCTCTGCAGACTGGTGGGAACAAAAAGCAGTCTAGGGTAGTCGTTAGGGTCACCTGTGACTCAGTAACCTTGACCCTGAAGAACCCACCTTATGCCAGCTGGCAAGTAGAGCCAGCCAGCAAGTAGCATGGGGCAGGTGGCTTCCCAGGATCATGGGCCTCTTGGTAGGCATGGAGTCATCCTGGCTGTCCTGCCAAGCCTTTAAACATCTGCTCATTCCAGGCAACCCTGAGAGTGTCTGGGGCTTGCTCCCACCTCAGAGGCTGCTGCTGCCTGGGAACACACAGGAGCAAGTTGGGGAATCAAGGGGAAGCAGCAGTTGGACTCCTGTGGTCACAGTCACCCCCAAAAGTCAGAAGGGTGTTCCACAAATTGGCAGATTTCTCTCACCAATGAGGACCCCTCCTTTTCTCTTTATTGCTGGAGATATATTTTAAATTCATTTAATGGGAGGAAGAGAAGCAGGCCTTGTCTCCCTGTAAGGGCTGGGAGGAGCCTTCCCCTTCTTGCCCATTTGCACTTGCCTGTCAGAGGAAGCCCATTCAATAAACACCACTTTGTGCTGATACCATCTATGGATGTGCCTCAGCCCTGAACACACTCATACCCAACTCCCACACCACCACCATCTCTAAGAGATAGCCATATTCAACACGTGGGACCATAACTCCTGACCCACCCCAGGCTCCTCAGTTGTCTGTCTCCCCTATTTTAGCACTCCTGCCATCCAACTGCTCAGACCTGAACCCCCACAACCACAGTACTTCCCTTCTCTGCCCCGATTCCATTCATTAGCAAATCCTGACACATGATACAGAGTTTAAAATATTCATATTTTTTCCAATTTCTTAAGAAACTGATGGCATCAATTTAAAACCTTACTTCTTGCCTAATAAAGGTGTTTAGTTCTATAGAGTTCTCTCTACATATGGCTTCAGCTGTATCCCACAAATTTTACATTTGTGGTTTTTATTAACTCATTTCAAAATACTTTTGTATTTCCCTCTTGATTCCTTTTTTGATTCATGAAATATTTGGAAGTGTTAATGAGTTTTCAAATATTTGGAGATTTCAGGATATCTTTTTTTTCTTGATCTCTAATTTAATTCTATTATGGTTAGAAAACATATGTTGTAATCCTTGAGATAGTTTAAATTTATGGAGACTTGCTTATGGATCAGAGTGTGGTTCATCTTAGTCAATGTGTGTTCTTGTGTTAAGGGTGGAAAGTTCTAAAATATCAATTAGAGCGGCTGGATGGCAATATTGTCCAAGTTTGCCATTACCTTTTAATTTTCTGTCTGCTTGTTCTATCAAATACTGAGAGAGTGGTGTTGAAATCTCTGTGGTAATTGTGGATCTGTCTGTTTCTCCTATTCGTTCCCTATATTTTTTAAGCTCCATCCTTAGCATCATAATGTTTGGCATTGTTATGTTCTGTCAATGTACTAAGTCCTTTATCATGAAAGATCATTTTTATCTCTGGTAATATCCTTGGCTGGAAGTTTACTTTGTGTTATTAACATAGCTGCACCAGTCTTCTTTTGGTTAGTGTTAGCATGGTCGATCTTCTTCCCTCTTTTATTTTTAAATTTGTGTATTTAAGTGAGTTTTTGTAGGCACATATTAGTACACTTAGACCTGCTTTTCTTTTTATCTTATTGACAATCTCTTACTATTTGCAGTGGTTGCTAATATGGCTGAGTTTAAACTGATCATTTTATTTGTTTTCTATTTTTACTATCTGTTCTTTGTTCCTCATTTCTATTGTTTTTCATTCCCCTTTGTCATCTTTTGGATTAAATGCACCCATTTTATGATGCCACTTTACCTCCTTTATCTACTTATTAGTTACAACCCTCTGTTTTGTTATCACAGTCATTGCTTTAGGGTCTACCTTATTACAGGACAATGTCCAGTGGTCTTGGTCACTTTACATGGAGTACAAGAATCTAACAGCAGTCTGCTTCCACTTCTGCTCTCGCCTGCATTGTTACACTCACACACTTATGTTCTACCTATGTGACGTACAAACCTTATAACCAACACATATATAGATTATTTCCACAGGTGTAAAACATATTCATTTAAATTTCACTTAAAA